TAAAAATGTTTTGGTTATTTTTTAAAGTTTCTGAAAAACTGGTTTTCTAGAAAACTGGGTCTTCAAGAAACATTGGGAAAAATGCTTTATGCCACTAGAATCAGCTCGTCGAGCTCTATCGATTGGGATACCTCTCTTTAGCATCTGTGATTAACACTTGGGATAGTTCCCTCGTTAGACAAATAGAAATTTTCCTTAAAATAAGATGTCGAACGTCGGTGTATGTGTTGATCGAAAGGAGAACCCATTGTCAGACTTTTATGAAACTTTTGACTCGAAACCGTTATAGAGTATAACGAACTTGAGTTTTCTATCGGTCCTGATGAATAGAAATGAAAAAAAGCGAGTAAACTAATTTAACTCCTCATCAGTTCTCATGATCCAAACAACATTTGTCTTTTTCTATACAGATCTTATATTTATTTTTCAATTGTGAGCTATATTTTTTGTTTGCGAAGCTTTTGCTTGACGGTTAAGAGCATGAAAATAGTCTTCAGTACCTAACTGATATTTGATTTAATCATGTTTATTAGTTATTATTAAGGATCATTAATCGACTATATCATACAAGTGAAAGAAAAAAATTGTTTTTTGGTAAGATTTATAAGCACATATTGACATTAGTTTTTCATAGATAAGCAGTGTTTAACATTACAAATAAATTGTGTAGTGAATAAAAAATATTAGGTTCAAAAGCAAGGGTTTATTAATTACTTTATTTGCCATTTTTCTATTTGTTCTTCTAAAAAATGACTTTTAGTTCTAAAATTCGTCAACAATAATTACCGTCGTCCAATTATAATTCCTTGACTAGGAATATTTTTATCTTTTTCTACTACTTCATTTGGTCGATTCTTTTTCCCAAGTAATATTCCTTCTACTGGCATTCTTTTGCCCAATAAAATTCCTTCAGTAGGAAAACGTCGAGACTGACGTTTTCCTAGCAAAACTCCTTCAACAAATCTTTTGTTAGTATTGATCCTCTCTTGATTATTACCAGATGCTGAATTGTCCATATCGTCACGAAAATGATAAAAACTAATTGGACGATATTTGATCGGATTGTAATCATCATTGACAGCGTTGATCAAATCATTTTCAGCCAAATTTGATTGATGTTTATGTAGATCTAGTACTCCTGCATTAGTAAACACGACAAAGATGGCTAAACAAAATAAAAATATTTAATAAAACAAATTAGTAAAAACTACTGCCTTCTCTCTCAATCTTAAAAAATTTTGATGATATCTACCAATATGTAAGAAAGCATATTTTACTCATTGAGCCATAAGACAAAAATAAAACACTTAAATTAATTTGTTTTGAACATAGAGATTGAAAAGTATATATAAAAAATCAAAAGACAATTTGTCAAATAGAAAATATACTATATTTATTTATGAATATATTGAAAAGATTACATTGTTTTTTCCTGTCTCAATTTTTAAAGTACAAAACAAAAAGAAATGATCAAATGGAAAAATAGTCCCATGTCTCTGCATTCACATTAAGTGTCAATATATTAATGTCTATTTCTCTGCTTTTTTATTATTATGTATCCTCTAGATTCATTCTATGCCTAGAATTCGTAATTATTTTAATTAAAACTTACCCATAGCAATGAAACATGTGCAAAGAACTCGTAATGGATACATTGCGAGAGATGTTGTTTGCTTATAATTGATATAGACTAAAACGAAGAAGTTATGTATTCATTTAATTTCTAATCAATATCTTTAAGCATGAATGATGTTAGTGAGAGACACTATTTATCTCAAATAAAAGAGAAAAAGTTGGTTGCGAAGGATAAGGTTTAACCTTAGTAAGACTAAGATAATTTTAACCCTCTTGAAAGTAATAAGCCTGTTTAATGTAAAAAAAATTGTTTTGAACGTCCTTTCAGTAGAGTCCCATGCTCTATATCCCGTTTTAAACCAAAATATATCCTGATCGGGATATAGTCAAAAAACATGTAGCCCAATAGGGATATAAATTCGATTTTTTTGAATAAAATTCGTTAGCAAAAAAAAGGATGATGTTAGTGGAAAGTTTTGACCATACCACACCAAAATGCGTAAAAAACTGTGTCAGATCCTTTTCTCCTTGTAATCAAGTCTTTTTCCCGATTAGCTACCTTTTTTTAAATAATTCTCGATACTCCTATTCTTTATCCTGATTAGACCATTTTACTTTTTTTACTAGCTATTTTTAACATTTTCTCTTACTCTGGACATCTATAGGGCAGCAACATCCAGTGAAATATTCAGGTAAAGTCACACTCGTCCACCGTAATTCGTCTTCCGCGCAGCGACGTAATCCAAGCAGACAAACATTTGGAAAAACGCGTTTAAACGCTCAAAAGGGAGCCGCGATTGTGAGTCAGTAACGCTCATTAAAAAAACGCAAGAAACGCGTTTTTTGCGCAAAATTTTCACTTTCAGACCGTGAAAACGACGAAAACTCCCGTTGTTGAGCGTTAAAACGCGCTTTTATTCCAGAATTTAAAAACAATGAGTTTTAACGCTCAAAAACTGGAG